GCCTGGCGACACTCGGTGGATCTCTAGTGCAGACTTGCAGACTTCTGCACCCCTTATCTTCGCCAACTATGAGAAGACACGACTTGCCAAGGCAGCAGCTCGTCCCACCCGRCCCATSCCGGTATCGGACAGACAACTCCGCCCKCGCAAGTMGCTCGGTCTTTTAAGAGGGGGAGTGTGTTACATCTTCGAYGCCACACGGGTCSTACCGRACCTGACTTAGGGCTAGAGGGACACATTAGGGCCTAAAGGCCCGACCTYKGGGATTAACAGGCCGAAAGGCCACGACTTGGACCCGATTAYGRACCAGGCCCAAACGAYATTTCGTTTTGGGCCTGGCGGCGCCTTTGAGGCTGCCGCTCTCTGGTTGGACCTGAATCGTTGATCTGGACGGTTCAACCCCAACCAAGGCCTCGCAGCATTGAGGCCGGTCCTCTTCGAACCAGTACTTAGTACCGGTCCGGCCTCACTTCGGGGGATCGACCCACCGACACTCTAACGGTGCGGTATGGTACGGCGCGAACAGCGCTGGTGCTATGTTTAGCGCAGGAGCACGAGGAGCAGCGCAGCAGCAGCGTTAGCGCAGCAGCAGCGGCGACTGAGCGTATCGGCGGCCATAGCCGCCTGAGGTATCGGGAGTCGGAGGTTTCTCTCCTCCCTCCCATCGCCAGTCCCCTCTCTCTCTCTCTCCTCCTCGGCTCCCTTCTTCTTCTTCTTCTTCTTCTTCTTCTTCTTCTCTTCAGACTTCATCTTCTTCTTTTTCTTCTTCTTCTTCTTCTTCCTCTTCTTCAGACTGGAGACTTATACTAGTTGGACAGAGATCAGAGTTGGACTTCGGTGGTAAGAGGCTGTGGTACTTACCGGATTCGAGACTTGGAGATTGTTGGGGATGATACTTGGCTGCATCACAGATTTGACGCCGGTTACATTGGGACTCTGTATCTCCGACATTGGTGACTTATTGTCCTCGACATTTTGATCTTGTTCGATGACATTTTGGATTACCGTATCGTTGACCTACTGGTTTCTATCTCGGTGACGTTTGGTGCTACCTACATCTCCCCTCCTCCTTCGTCTCTCCTCCCACCTCTCATCTGTGTATGTGTGTACGAGGTCTGGGCATCGTCTATGCTTGGCCCAGACCCCACCATCTCACGATTGTATGTGTGTGGAGTGATATCTGTGTGAGTCAGTCTATGTGAGTCAGTCCGTTTATCAGACTTCCGCTGCATATATGCTCATCCTACATTGGTTGATCTTTGGTTCTGCCCATACTCATTCAAGTATGTCACTCTCTCTCTCTCTCTCTCTCTCTCTCTCTCTCTCTCTCTCTCTCTCTCTCTCGTGTGCACGTGTGCGCACCCGGTTGCGCGCGTACCTGCGAACCCAATCAATTACCTGCTCACTCCCTCGTTTTGGCCCGCTGCCCGCTCCCGCCGCAGACCACCAAAGATGCCGCTACTCTCTCTTTCT